TCACTGGCTACCCTGCACTTTCCTACCTTAGATCTAGCTTGTATTTTGCTCACCTTGTTTCATTCTGGATTTGTTTACACTGTGCCTCTGTCTTGTTGGATATTCTAAACTGGCTACTCCTTACCCATGTATGATGCCTTTTGTGTCTCAAAATGGCCACACTGTGTTGGGCCCTCACTCTGCCTCTCCTCAGTCACTGTTTTTGTTCTTTTTCTCTTTCTGATTAGTATTTAATCCAATTCTTTATCCTTTCATTTGATACCCAGAGGTCCAGGATTATCATCTATACCTTTTTAACTTGGTTTTTCAAATCTTTGTTGTAGAGGGACAAGGTGTCACCAGAATACCATCTTGTCTCCTCACCTCTAAATTGCTTTTTCTGATAACATTATCCAATACAGTTGATTGATGATTAAATCTATTTGTAACGGGGATTACAAAATTGAGACATCAGCACAAAATGACTTCTATTTGATTGCAACACATATTTTGTGTTGCAGTCAAATTGAGACTTCTATCATATTATTGAATACATGTCCTGCAGGTATAAGATATGATTCATTAATATGATATGAATCTCTTTCCATTTTAAAAGAAGGCAGCATAATAATTTACAGCATATTAAACTAGAAGTTCATCTATTATTTGTATCTTCATCATCATTTTGTTTCAGTCATAATAGTATCACAGAAACATTGAAGAACATGTATATCCTAGATTCATCATGTATATTATATAGAGTTTTGTTTCTGGACTATTCCCTCATAGAGATATTTGTGTCATATTCTTGATTTTTCACCATAAAATGTAATAATATTGCAGTGATATGTGAAAATGAAGTAGGCAATATTTTGAACTTATGAAGAGAAAACTGCAATATATTAAATAATATGATACTGGAGTCCTTCTGAGGATAATGAACTTAGTTAATTTATAAATGTATTTGAATTTCATTAGTTTTTAGATTGTTTCAGCTCTCTTCATTTTGAGATAGTGTTCTGTTATCTTTGTTAATTTTTTAAAAAGTTTTGATGACTATTTATTGAAACACAAAATAAGAAGTCTAGTGTTCTGATAGTCTTCTACACAGCAAGTAAAAGCTACCTTACCTTGTTGATGCTATTGAGTAAAAGGAGAAATATCTCCCAGAGGGGTTATTGAAAAGGGTATTATAAATCCCTTAGACTTAAGAGTTAATCACTCATGTAATTGGAGAGGCTTTTCACATCTTTCAAACATCTTAATCACAAAACCTTTCTATTTTGAGTCTGTAGAAACTTACATTCAGAGTTAAATCACTCATGCAATTGGAGAGGAATTTTATACCTTTTTAAACATCTTAATCAAACGTTTCTATTTTGAGTCCACAGAAACGTACATTCAGGGTGGCACTGTTGAGGAGATGATTTTCAAGCCAGTCTAAAACACCCATTTTAATCAGTAAGGTATTTATTCAGGGTTACCTTGGAAGACAGGTCTGGTGATCTGTTTTGAAAGGTCACAGCCTTGAAAACCCTATCAAGTACAGTTCTACTCTGAACTCTAGGGGGTCACCATAAATCTGAATTTCCTTGACAACAACAATAGTTATACTTGACTTTTTATTACACACGTAAACAAAATTCTCTGCAGATTTATCACACATGCTACCTGTATTATAGAATTATAGAAATAAATGAAGACCAGATCCAGGCTGGTGTACCCTGGAGAAACCGTCCATTTGTGAGCCATTTTCCTAGTTCAGTTTTTTAAAAATAAAGCCATTATCAAACCATCTCAACCCTTGGCATTTAGGTAGTGATATTGGTGGCGCAGTGCCTAAGGCACTTGACTGCTAACTAGAAGGCTGGTGGTTCAAACCCACCAGCCACTCCTCGGAAGGAAGGTTGGGCAATCCTACTTCCATAGTGATACTGCCTCGGAAACCTAAGGAGGGGTCACTATGAGTTGGGGCTGACTCGATGGCATATAACAACAACAACGACAACATTGCTGGTAAATGGCCCTTAGAAGCAGGGGTGGAGGCAGACCCTGATTTATAGCATTTCCTAAATTTTTAGTATAAAATTTCCACTATGATAAGGCCGGAATAGTAGATATTGAAGAATTTTAAAATTAAGGAACTGGAAGAGAAATCATTGAGAAAATGTTATCTTTTTGTCTTTCTCTTCTTCCTCATCCTTCTTCAACTGATTACAGCTCAGTAGCTGTGGGCTTAGTCATGGAAGGTCTAATCTGTTTGGGATAGTCAAAGGGCTCCAGGAAGTTTAGGTAATAAAGTATTCTTCATCTTCCATTAGCTGACAATTTCTATTTATATACTTTTTTATTTAAAATAAACATTAATATAAAATAATTTTTTAAATATACAAATCATATAACAGGAAAATTTTAATTGGATTTAGAAGATCATCCAAAAGGTCCTTTTTTAAAAACTGAAGGAAATAAAAATGCAGATGAGCACATAAAATGAAATGATCCCACATTCTTCTACTCTTAGACAGGAACTTCACAGAAAGCAGATTAACTTAGAAAGTATTACATAGAGACACTTTGTCATTTGTCCTAGCCAACAGCCCCTCAGGTTACAGACTTCATGTGCTTCATGGCATCAGATTTTAGAGAGAAGAGAACAATCCCTGGGCCAAAGAAGTTCAGTTGTTTGATAAGCATGCTTCTGGGGAAAAAAAAAAAAAAAACACTAAACCAGATATCTTTATTACTATTTGGACAAAAATCCTGATAAAAAAAAAAAAAAAAATCACACATATATACATATACATTTTCCTGTGTGTGTGTGTGTGTGTGTGTAGGACAAGAGAGAGGAGAGAATGAAATCTTTTTCTTTCAAGTATATCAAATAGTGTTGATTATTCAACATAGTAATTTTTATCAAAATATCCCCTCTATAATTTCTTTAGGAGCTCTGGTCATTCACTTATCCAACAATAGGTATCAAGTAGATCCTTGTGTCAGGCACAGTGCCAAGTGATGAGAATAAGTCATTGGATTGGAGAGTCTAAGGTACTTTCAAAGGCTCAGGTTTGAAGCTTTAGATGGAGGCAGAGATGGAAAATGGGGGGGGGGAGGGAGTGTTTTCTTACAATAGACATATTAAAATGTGAAATTTTAAAAAATACTACTTTGCTAAGCCATTTAGATAATGTCCAATAATTAGAACATTGCATTCTTACTGAAATAATTGATCCCATCTGCAAAAAACACACACACAGGCACACACTCATTATACAGAATAAAAGATTTCTTCTTGTAATTAAAAGAATAAAAGGTTTCTTCTTGTAATTACAAAATAGAAGATTTCTTCTTGTAATTGATTTAACAAAAACTCCAAAAAGAAAAAAAGTAGAAAAAATATAGAGTAAACGGATATCAAGGATGTTAAAGTCTCTTAAAAATTATCTGATCAATTATCTACTTAGAATATTCCTACCCAAGGCTCATATTGCTTTTCTTTTAATGCTTGCTGGAATGGGTATACTATTTACGAAATAGGTTATAATTAAAAGGTTAAAAAAAAAAAAAAAAGGATGGTGAATAATTACATCAGAAAACAACTTAAAATCTAATGCTTCCCTTGGTCTGGTAGTAAAACCAAAAACCAAACTCACTGCCATCAAGTCGATTTCAATTCATCACTACCCCCATTTGGCTTTCCAAGGCTGTAAATCTTTTTGGAAGTAGATCTCCTCATCTTCCTTCTGTGGAGCAGCTGGTAGGTTTGAACCACTGACCTTCCAGTTAACAGTCAATTGCCTTATCACTATGCCACCATTTACTAGTAGTAGGAGTAAAAAATAGTTTTTATTTGTTTAATTATTTGTATAGAGTTAATATAGTTAACAAGGAGCTCTGATGGAGTAGTGGGTAAAACATTTGGCTGCTAACCAGAGAGTTGGTAGTTCACAACACCAGCTGCTCCAAGGGAGAGAGATGAGGCAATCTACTTCCTTAAAGATTTACAGCCTTGAAAACACAGTGGGGGTCACTATGAGTCAGAATCAACTCACTGCAGTACTTTTTTTTTTTTTTTTCACCCAATATAGGTAACATGGTCACCTACTGGCAGAATTCAAGGGTCATGAATTTTCATCATTTCCAAAATTTTATTATATTGTTTGTGCATTAGTTAAGTTCTCTAGGAGCCAAGTTCTAGAAATACTTCAAAAGTACTTTAATTCCTACTAGTTTCTTCTTGTAAATAGAAACATGGTGTGTGTTGATGGTACAGTCTCTTTAGCTACTCGAAGGTGAATATTGTTGAGGAACCAGGACCATCTTTCAAAAAGAAGGAAAATATGCATTCCTTTATCTTTGAGTCAAATATAAAAGCCTATGTACTTTGCATGACATAATCTATTTGCCATAGAGCAATTTATATGTGGTTCTCCTTATACCAAACCGAAAAACCAAACTCACTGCCATCAAGTCAATTGCGGCTCATAGGAACCCCTCCTTGGGTTTCCTAGGCAGTATCTCTACATGAGTAGACTGCCCAACCTTCCTTCCCAAACTACTGAGAATCATAGTCTAGTCAATTTGACACATAACGTAACCATCAAAATCAGTATAATATATGTTATTGTTCTTAGTTGCCACTGAGTAGATTTTGACTCATGATTACCTCATGTGTGCAGAGTACAGTTGCTCCATAGCAATTTCAAGGCTTTGACCTTTGGAAGCAGATTGCTGGGCATGCCTTCTGAAGCATCTCTGGGTGGTAATTAAATGTTTCTTAATTAATAGTAATAATAATAATATGATAAAATGAAGTTGCCAAATCCAAATTTCAAGTGAAAATATTTACTTTTATGGCCCCTATGAATCGAAAACACTCTGAAAAATAGTATCTCTGTACTTAATACTTTCAAGCTAATGCAAAACTGAAGAACTTCTCTGGGTTATATGCTTGTATAAGATTAGCAAATTGTCTCTCCTCATCATTACCCTACCTTTGAGGCCTTCTTTGCTTCTCTTCTCAGAATGGACTCAATGCTCTCCATCTGGCTGCCAAGGAAGGCCATGTGGGGCTGGTTCAGGAGCTGCTGGGAAGAGGATCTGCTGTGGATTCTGCTACTAAGGTAATATTCATGCTGGCAGAATTTATTTTCTTTAGGGATAAAAAAAAAAGAAATGATTTAAAACTCCCTTTCCCTGCTTGTACCAGAGATTCACTGAACAGCAAGATCTTAACCAGGCAGAACTAAAAATGAAAGCCTATCTATTAGACTTTGAATTATTTGTTTTTTGGAATATATCACACATAAGATTGAACAAAGATTTTCTGACATTTTAAAACTTATAAATTTAATATCTAATGTTTTCTCTTTCTTCCCTTGATTCACATAGAAGACTAGATTAACAAAATTCTCCAAAAACAATCATACCTATTTTTCTAAAGTTAACTTATTTGTTTAATAAGTTGGTATAGTATATTTCTCAATAGAAGTGGATAATTTTGAAGCCTCAGTTAAAGTGATACAGCTTTGGATGTATGATCATTTGATATGGTATGAGAATCTTTGTCCTGGGAATTTCCCAGTGTTTGTAATTTCCCTTTGGATGAGTTTGGAGAAACCAAAAAATCTGTCAGGCAGTCCCATTGTCAGCATGAGTTTTATTAAGAATAAGTGGGAAAAAACAAAATCAAGAGAAAGAGAGAGAGAGAGAAAGCGTTTACAAAGTGATAGATAAAAGGTAGACAAGGCTTACACAGCTTGTTAGAAGCTTCTTCTGATCCAGTGGGCAGCTGGACTGGAATGGATTCCAGAATATCTGCAAAAACCCTCCCATCTTTTGGGAATATTTATACCCGAGTCTGGGGATTGAGGACAGCGTCTATGTGACCAGGACTGGAAGATTACTTGATGGGTTTCCAGTCTTAATGGCACCTGGGCCATTTGGGAGGGGTCCCAGACAGTGCTTTCAGAACCACCTGCATTTGCTTTGATAAAGCACTGCCAGTTTAGCACTTTAATTGCCCTGGGCTAGCTAAGAACAAATTAATCCCTAACAGGAAGGAGGTGATTGAAATGTGACAGGGAGAGAGAAGGGAATGGCTAGCAGTTTCTTACAAGTACAGCTAAAGTAGATGGGGTTTGAGACCATTTTTTTGGGGTGTTGCAGTCACTGACCATACAATCTGCAAAATTCTTTCTGCTCAAATGGAGGAGATTTAGATTCATGGATTGTATCATTAGGTAAAATTAGATTTTGTCACTCTCTGTAATGTATTTGTAAAGGATTGAACTTATTTTACAACAAAATGTGCAAGACATGTGGTATACTAGAAATGTTGTTCCCTTGTTGATATTGTTTTTGCTAATATGTATTTGGAGCTCTGGTAGCGTAGTGCCTAAGGCACTTGACTGCTAACCAGAAGGCTGGTGGTTCAAACCCACCAGTCACTCCTCAGAAGGAAGATTGGGCAATCTACTTCCATAGTGATACTGCCTCGGAAACCCAAGGAGGGGTCGCTATGAGTCGGATCTGACTCGACCGCACATAACAACCAACACAATATGTTGAACCTTGTCTTTGAGGGTTAACTGAAGAAATAACAGACATTTAAAATATATCATCGACTGTGACAAAGTTTTGTCTTTTGAAGGTGAAAGTTTTATTTGGGGAAAAATAAACAAACAACAGTAGCCAATCAGAACTAAGCCTGCTTGCTGATCAAGGCTATTGTGTGATAATATGGTTCATGGAGCTATGAACAGTGTCATTAAGCACTTAAACCCCTGCCTAGGGCATTTTGTCTACTGAGAATGCAAAAAGAGCACTGGAATAAATTAGGTATATGGGCAGTTAACCTAGATTTCCAACATTTCATGCATAATTGGCAAAATGTAGTTTGGTCCTTCTCACAGTATAGTAAATAGCAATTTAGTGGAAATCAAAAACAAACAAAGAAAAAATTCTGGCAATTCCAAAGAAGCTAAATATGTAAGTTCATTGTATACAGTAAATTTCTTACTTTGAACGTAAGGACAGAATATAGTACTTATTAAAGGTTCTCTTAATCATAGCAAATAAATGTTGAAAAATTATTCAAAGATGATTGATTTGAAGGCTTATCTAATTATTGACCTCCTTCAGTTGCCCATATTAATATAACATTAATTAAACTAACAATTTTTTTCTTGCTTCATTGTGTATTTTGTCATTGTTTTCTTTTTTCCTTTCCTTGAAAGTATGTTAATATTTTAAAATGTAGTTTTACTTTAAATAATAGATTATAATTTTTGATCCAGAAAAAAACAAAAAAAACCCACTTAAAATGCCTCATTTAAAGATGAGGTAACTGAGACCACAAAACAGTCAGTGGTTCAAGGACCCACTGTGAGGGGGTTGTAAAAAGAGTTTTAGAATCCAAACTTTGTGGCTTCAAAAATACAGACTTCTGTTTGTTTGTTTTTAAATTATATTATTTACTTCAGTCACCCCACAAGTATCGTTTAATCTCTTGGACAATATTCTAAACCTCATGAAAGGTTTAGATTATTTTCCTCTTCGGTTAGTTTTGTAGGTGCTAAATTTAGATGTAGCCAATGTCAGAAATCATTGGTAATGTTGTGATTAATCTAAAGTTTATTTTATTCATTCAAAATATTTCAAGCAACAACCATGTGCTACTAGGGGCTGAAGACACAACTGTAAGCAAAGTCGGTGTCTCTACCATTTATAATACTTGAGTTTCTTTGTAAGGTGAAATAAAGCCAGTGATTCAATGGAATTTTTGTCAATGTTGTTAACTTTTCCTTGTGGCAGGATTCTTTAGTTGTTCATTAAATATCATAAAGGATGATATTGCCATATACACACACAAACATTCCACATTATTTAATTCAGTAAAAACTCAGTTAGTCTTACTATGTTCTCTGTCTATGCCAGGTTTTGTGAATGATACAAAAGAATGATAGTATATGAAATGGCTAATGTTTTGATGGTAAAATGTAATCTCTGCCCTAAGAGTGACAAGTTGAAATAATCAGCAAATTTGAAGATGCCTGTATATTTTGATCTCTACAAATTTGGTAACCATGTTTTGTTTAACACTTTCTACTTTGTTTCTCCAAAACAGAAGGGAAATACGGCTCTTCACATTGCATCTTTGGCTGGACAAGCAGAAGTTGTCAAAGTTCTTGTTAAGGAAGGAGCCAATATTAATGCACAGTCTCAGGTATTCCTTTTACATATGCTCCAATGTAAATAAACTTAAATTAGTAAAATAAATTTAAGGAATGTATTTAAATTTATTTAATTGAAATTGAGTTAATGGGTTTAGCCAACTGTAGGACAGTTAACTTTACTATAAATGGTTTCTTTATTAACTCATACTATGAAACTTTTTTTTTTAAGCATATTATAACCTCCCTCTTGATGGAATTGAAAATTAGACAGGTCTATCAGTGATTTTAAGTACATTTTAAAAACAATATAAAGTGGAGCTTTTCGTTTCAGAATGACAGTGACATCTAAGAAATATGATTTATTCATGTGAGTTCCATGTCACTCTTCAAAATTATTTTCTCTCCCTAAAGGTTTAAAAATTCTCAAAAGATTAGCATTCCATTAGGAAACCTGGTATAAAGTAGGAATCAAACTGTTTTGGTTACCTTACACCCCACATGTGGGTTTTACAAAACTGTCAAGGGAAATTTTGAGCCCTACTGGGCTTATCATTCTCATAGTAACAAACAGAAAATGCATTTTCCTAAAAGAAAGTTAGGATAAATTTTAAGAGAATAATTTTTAATGAAAATACACCACATTGCAAGCTTTTTCTGGGGGGGTGTTGGGGTGAAAGTTTACAGAGCAAATTCACTTTACATACAGCAGCTCACATACATTTTGTGACTACAATTTACCACAATGCAACAGCTCCCCCTCACTTCCTTCCCATAATTACCTCTTTCCTGTGTCCTTCCCTCCATGACCTCCTGCCCCCTGAGCTGTCTCCCTGTGCATACACAGCCCTTCTATTCTCCCATGATTGATTTCTCCAAGGAGTGTATCTGCCTATTGTAAATGTTCAGCTCATATGCCTGTCTTTTGTTTGGCTGGAAGCCCTAGGAGCAGGTTCATTCCTAGACCTGAAGGGCAGCTAGGGGCCATAGTCTCAGTGGTTCCATCAGGCTTTGTCAGACCAGCAAACCTGGCCCTTTTTTTAAGAAAAAAAAAAAAAGATTTTGATTTCTGTTTCACATTGTTCTCCCACTCTATCCAGGATCTCCTATATAGATTGCCCCCCAAGTGGTTGACTGTGGTAGGCGGGACCATTGAGTTCCTCTTATCTGATAGTCATATAGGCTGAGGACCACATGGTGTACCAGTCACTTGGACTAATTGTTTTCATGAATCTTTGGTTTTCTTCATTATTCTTTGCTCTAGATGAGGAGAGACCCATCGTTGCATCTAGATGGCCACTTGTAAGCCTTTAAGATCCCAGTTGCTACTTGCCCAAGTAGGATGTGGAACAATATTTTGTGTAGTATGTTATGTCAATTGAGCTTGATGTTCCCTGCAACTATGGTCCGAAGTGCACAGGTCCAACTACTCGCTCCCTCTGGGTAGCTGGCTCTGGCCAAGAAGTGACTACAACCTTATCCCTTGTCAGGTCTACTATATACCTGGGAATTCTTACAGAGCATACCAATACACTTGTAGAAACATTGTCTGCCAACCCTATACATGGGATCATGGAGCTGGCGCGGGATTGGGCAGTGTTTCGTTCTGTTGTACATGGGGTCGCTATGAGTCAGAGACGACTTGACGGCACCTAACAACAACAACAACAGCAGCAGTTGGAGGGGAGAGGAAGGGCTGGGTGGTCTGAAGTGCAAGGAGTTGTGAGCCTACAAAACCAAACAAAACTCACTGCCATCAAGTTGATTAGACTCATAGTGACCCCTCCTGGCTTTCCCAGGAGGTATCTCTACAGAAGTAGATTGCTCTACAGGCATTGAAATAGTACCTGAGGACTGAGGATGAGAGAGAGTAGGTGCTGTCTGGTCTGAAGTGAAGGGAAGATTGTGACTCCTAAACATGGCAGCTGGAACCCACGACCTAACATGTATGGCTAGGGCTGAGCTGAGCAGAACCTGACCAAACAAAGAGGAAGATGTTTGACACTGAGCTAGTGTTAAGTTGCTGCAATTTGATGGCTTGTGCTGGGCTGGACTTTGCTTATTTATGGATGCAGATGCCCAAAGTTCCAAGAAGATGCCCAAAGTTCCAAGAGGAACATAAGTTTCTTCAATGAGAAAGGAACATGCTTGTCTCCTCAGAGTACTGGTTTGATAAAAATGGGCATCGATAAAGGCATGAAGTGGCTGGTTTACACAGTTTCATGGGTGTGGTTATTCTTAAAGTCATGGTGCAGGGGATGGTATTTTTTTCTTTCTTTTTTTTTAAAAAATTGTGATTTTGGTGAAAGTTTAGAGCAAATTCTCTTTCTATACAGCAGTTCACACACACTTTGTCTCATGACATTGACTACAATTTACCACAATACACCAGCTCCCCTTCCAGTTCCTCCCCATAATTACCTCTTTCCTGAGTCCTTCCCTCCATGCATTCCTACCCCCTGAGCTGTCTCTCTATGCATACACAGCTCTTGTATTCTCCATGATTGTTCTCTCCAAGGATTGTATCTACCTAGTGTAAATGTTCACCTCATATGCTTGTCTTTTGATTGGCTGGAAGCCACAGGAGTGGGTTCAATTCCAGATCTGAAAGGCAGCTAGGAGCCATTATCTCAGTGGTTCCATCAAGGTCTATCAGACCAACAAACCTGGTTCCCCCCTTTTTTTCCCCCCAAATGATTTTGAGTTTTGTTCCATATTGTTCTCTCACTCTATCCAGGATCTCTTATGTAGATCTCCCTCTGAGTGGTTGACAGTGGTAGCAGGGCACCATCTAGTTCTTTTAGTCTCATCGTCTTATAGGCTGGGGATCGCATGGTGTATCAGTCACTTGGACTAATTGTTTCCATGAATCTTTGGTTTTCTTCATTCTTCTTTGTTCTGGATGAGGAGACACCCATCATTGCATCTAGATGACTGCTTGCAAGCTTTTAAGATCCCATTCGCTACTTGCCCAAGTAGGATGGGAAACAATGTTTTGCGTAATATGTTATACCAATTGAGCTTGATGTTACAGGGGGTGTTAATTTTTGAAGTATAAAAGGGATAATGGCTAGAAAACCAGGGGGTTGCCTACAGTGTAGTAAATTACATGGTAAGGCTTTCCTAGCCATAGTATTTATAACTCTCATTTTGCCATGAGCAACTAAGTAGCTGCTTATTAAAAGTCATCCACCTGGGGTAGCACAAAGTAAACTTTCAGGAAAGTTCACTTTCTCTCAGGTGTGTAGAATTTCGATGTTGGGATTGGTTAGTTTTGCCACTCTGCCAGGCTCAAAATGAGCCCTCCTAGAGGCAGGAGGAATCTCTCTGACTGCCAACTGAGAGAAATGCACTACTGAGAGAGATGTGCTATCGAGAGAGATGTTTTTGCTGAGAGTGATGTGCTTGCCGAGGGACATGTGCTTGCTGAGAGAGAGACATGAGAGAGATACACTGCTGTGAGAGAGATACAAGAGATGTGTACTGCTGAGAGAGAGACGTGCTACTGAGAGAGACTGAGAGATGCGGCCAGCTGAGAGAGGTGGCCAGCTGAGAGAGACGGCTAGCTGAGAAAGACTGAGTACATTTCTGAACTTGAATTGTAGCCTGTTGCTTCGCCAACAAGCCCCATAATTTGTGAGTTCTGTATGGCCACTGCAGCGAATTATCAAACCCAGCAGAGAGGTAGTGGGTGTCATGGGAGGAACAGTTGGTGTCAAGGTTGGTAAAAGAGCTGCAGGGTTGTGGCATGTCTAGCTCATAAGAAGAGTCTTTGGGCTGCTGATGGTGATTCTGTTTTCCTCTTGTGTAGTTAGAGGAGATCAAAAGATGTCGCCTCCTGGTCCCTTTAGCATTTAGTCACTGATTTTGTCAAATTTTCAGGTTATTTAGCTACAGTATTGTGGTAGGCAGTATTTGTGAACATGCATCAAAAACATTTTTTGAAAATGAAGTGGTAATTAAAGGAAAAGAAGAAAAATTTAAATGGCTTCCAGTCAGTTATTAATAATGTTGTAATTAATGATGTAATTTAATGTAGAAAAATTTTACAAAACAATTTTGGGGTTAGTATTCATATAACCTAAGGAGCTCTGGTGGTGTAGTAGATAAGGCATTTGGCTGCTAATCAGAAGGTCAGGGGTTTAAACCCACCAACTGCACCTTGGAAGGAAAATGGAGCAATCTATTTCTGTAAAGATGTACAGCCTCAGAAATCAATTCGATGGCAGTGAGTTTGGTTTTTGTTTGTTTGTTTATTAGTATCGTCTAAGAAGTATTAACTTGAAAAATGTACAATAATATTTGTCACATATTATGATTAAAATTCATAATAAACATTACTAAGGATTCTGTAGGAACTCTGGTATTGTAGTGCCTAAGGCACTTGACTGCTCACCAGAAGGCTGATGGTTCAAACCCACCAGGCACTCCTTGGAAGGAAGGTTGGGCAATCTACTTTCATAGTGATACCACCTCAGAAACCCAAGGAGGGGTCACTATGAGTCGAGTCCAACTCGACAACACATAACAACAACATTGACAAGGATTCTGCATGGTCTGGTACAGGAGTAGGTCCATGGGAGGGGTGACACCATGAGTTACCACACTGGGTTAAGCCTTTGGCCTAAATCAGTAGTTTGTATGGTTAAAAAGCATGAAAGTGAAAGTCAGGTCAAGGTCATCTGCTTATCAGTGTTTTCCCTATTTCAACAGGAAATTCACATATACATTGGTGGTGCTATGTCTGTGAAAATAATTTTGTTACTTTTCTCAAATTGACTAGTTGAACATATAGATGTCATAAAAGTTGACAGATGGAAAATGCTGCAAGGTAAATGCTTGTTAACAGTGATAATATCAGTGGTCATTGGGAATTTATATGTTTTGGAAGTTTTTCAAGAAGAACAAGCCAAAATCATTTAATTGGTGATGTGCTTTACAAGTCAATGCTCTATAGTCATACTCATGCCAGATTATAACAAATCTTAAAATAATTTCTATTTTTACTATACAGTTAACTCAGTTTATGGTTTATACTGGAGGGAATTCTGAT